GTTCTCGGTCTACGGGGGTGCTAGGTCCCAAGGCATGGTGCGATGGATGCACGTCAAATATGGATCGTAGATCGTCCTCTCTCGCCCATGAGTGTAGCTGTGTTATCCATCGTGGAGGCGCATCCTGAATAGATACCAGTGAAGAAGTTAGTCTTTGGATGGGTAACACCCTCTTGCGAGGAGTGTTCATCCAAAGAGGGCCTCCATTGGAATGCATATATATATCAAAAAATAGGGAGGTGGAAGGGGCTCATCTCTACCCCTGATGGGATAAGGCTCGTCAATGATCTCCCTGTTTTCTATCTCCTCGACTGAGTCCTCCTCATAATCCTCTTTTGGATCCTCCTTAGTGTCTTCCTTGTGAATCATCCCGTTTGACTCCTCCTCGATCCATCCATTAGCTGCCATAGCTGGATAATAAGGGTCTCCATGGTTGAATCCTGCCATGTCTAAGAAGGAAAGGGTATATAAGTGTGTGAACTATGAAACTCATAATATAGTAATTAGTACTATTAAGTTGTTAATGTAGATCCTTGACAGGGTTATTAATATTGTTATGTATATTACTTGAGTTTAATATTGTTGTCTACTATGCTCACACTTAGTTACATGCCGGTCAAACCCTAGTCGGGCATAGTTGATCAGGCTACGTCTTCCCATGATTTGACAACATGTTATACTAGGTCTATTCATAGTGTTCAACCTAAAATTTGATGTTCTTGGTTTGTTTTATTTTGAAACTGCCTTTGTTTGTGTGTGTATACTTTTATATAAAAATTATTATACTTTAAAGTATAATTGTAAGATATGATTTTTAGCCAGAGGTATTAGTCCTCATATCTAAAGTTGTATTTCTTACATGGAAGAATATACTTAGTTCGCTATAGACAATTGATCGGATACCAATTTGTCACACCCCCAAACCGGATGACGGAATCGTCTGTGTGTGAAACAAGATCACAATATCACAATAATTGAATACGTCGAAACACAAGTACATAAACAACAATCATACATTATAATTAGATAAATTTCATGTTCCAAATGTTAATTTTTTTGAATCTAATTACTGTATGAAAATAAAATAAACATGTGTGACATTTTCACGTCACTTCCAAAAGCTTAGTCTTTTCTGACTAATGATTACCTGAGAATACAAGTGGTTTTGAAAGTGTCAACATTACGTTGATGAGTTCATAAGATTTTGTAGTGAGAAATTTTGGTGTTTCCTTTGTAAATTCAGTAGGGTTCGTAACAAGAAAAACTATTTTTACCAACAAAGTAATATTATGTATTTTTTTGTTAGTGATTTTGAAGTGTAAGAGTTTTATATGTTATTTTCTCAAACTAAACATGAATCTTAGCTTATCATAACACATTTTTCATATAAAACATGTGTATAGCAAAAATAACGAAACATATTTACCACACTATATTTTGAGACCAAAATAAATAGTTAGAAAACTTGTATCCCCCCTCCTTAAAATGTTTAAAAAGTTGAAAAATAAAGGGTATGAACTCACCCTGATGATTTTCTTAGAAGATGATAAGAAGATGAGGTAAGAATCAAGTCTTGCAAGTTAACACCTTCTTGAAACTTCAAGATTTTGCCTATGGTTTTTTGTTCAAGAATATGAATAAGGTTACCAAAAGATGATGATAAATGGTAGTAGAACACGAAATATGAATATAGAAGTTACCAAAACTCTTGCTAAACACTTGGAAGGGACTTGGACTAACTTGAGAGGATCTTGAGAGAATGAGAGAATAGAAGTGAAGTTTTGAAAACGTGAGAGGGTGGAGAAGGGAGGCTTGGCCAGAGAATTTAAGGAGGGAGAGGTTGAGTGACTTATGTAGAGAAGCATGCTTAGAAAGGATGATGTGATAAGAGCATGACCTTTTGACTAAAATAATCTAAGTATGGTTCTTTGATTATAAAATATAAAACTGATCATAATGATGTTGGGGGAGGAGGGGATGGTTGGGAGAGAGGAGACAAAAGAAAGTTCTTAGCATTTTTTATAAAATGTATCTAATCTCTTATATAAACCTTGGCATTTTATAAAAATATGGTAAAAAGTGTTGTGTAATTGTGTAATTTTTAAGTTATAATAACTAATAATAATGTTAATCCATATTATTAATAATAATATTAAAACGTTATAATTTAACTATTTCTCAACTTGTTATATATATAAAAATATAAGCATTAAAACACAGTAAACTTCTGTTTTCTCTGTATATGACATTTTTTCCGTAAAAATAATCGGAGTATAAAATTAAATACTATGTCATATTACGTTCTATAAAGTGTGTTCCGATACTTTATAATTATTGTTTATGGCATGTTTTAGTGCGTTTAGAGTCGATACTTGGTGTACATTTATCGTTTTCTGTGACTGAATTGTTGTAACTTTTGAATGTGAACTTTGTTTTCGACATTCTATAGGTCTACGGATTCTTAAACACGAGTACATCGTGTTACGAATATTATTTATACCAAAATAATATTTGTGTTATTTATCGAATTTTAAGTTGTTGTTAAGCTATTATACATAATTAGAGCGTTTACTCGATAATTGAACCAAGATGGCATATGTAGTATTATAGTCGTCACTAATACATTAGGAGGTTATCAAAGTTTACATATCAAATCATTCACCTAAATTTATGAGTTGGTTGAGTTTTGTTGACCAATTTTGACGGTTGTCACATCGTGGTGGAACCTCACTACGACGTGGCATTATCTTTTGGGCTGCAGGTTTTCATGGACCACTACTGCGTGGTCATAAGGTGCCATGGCGTGGCAGCCAGTTTTGGTGAATCCATATTCCTTTGGGCTTTTAGCCCTATTTAAAGGACATTATGGCTAGGGTTTCGAGGTCATTCAACCTCCATCACCCTCTCAAGCACTAAAACCCTAACCCTAGCCTCCATCACTCTTGAAAGTTCATTCTTCATACTTTGTTAGCATATTTGAAGGAGAAGGAAGCCCTTGGTGAGTATTATTATCTTGCAAGCATCATATTCATCTTCTAGATTCTTTTTTGGACTTGGGTGAGTGTTCAAGACTCAATCTTTTCTTTGCTAGGTTGTTAGATCTTGGATTTGGCCCCTTTTCTGCATGTTAGGTGGGTTTCGGAAGATGAGATCTCATAAAGCTTGTAACTTTATGAATATCCAGGCTATTTGGGGGATTTAACTCTTTGGATCTAAAGTAGACTTGATTTTTGAGGCCATGCATGGAATCTTGGCCCTTTTTGCTCTTGTTTTTCCCTAAAAATGGAAAGAACATGTATTGGACATGCATGCCCCTAAAGCTATGATTTTCATGGTCCATAAGGTGTTGGAAACCCTTCTAGAAACCTTGGAGAAGTAACTCTATGGATTAAGTGCTTAATGAGTGGAATGTGCTTTATGCTTCCATTAAGAACTTAAGGCTTTGGATCTTGACTTATAGGAAAGGTTTAAAGGATAAAGTTGTAAACTTTATCCATATATGTTATGGTTTGGACCTAGTTGGAGCTTGTGAACTCCTAGAATGGGTTGGAAAGTTAGCTTAAGGAATTAAGTCTTGTTGATTGATCCCCACAACGTGGTGAAATCTCACCACAACATGGTGGTTGGGATGAGCATGCATGTTTTGTCGTATTGCGACTATGGTGTGGCCATGGATGGCTACGGTGTGACAATTAACTGTAGGTTGACTTTGACCAAAGTTTGGCTTAGGGACGTTTTTTGTATTTTGATTAGTAGTTGAGCTTAAGTGATTGTGATTATATAGGTGGCTGGTAGAGTTAACATTTGGAGCAGTGATCTGTGTAGCTATTTTTTCAGACTGATATGTGTGTTTTTCTCATTGTACTCGTAGGTCGAAGGCACCAATGTTGGCCCACTAGGTTATGTATCCTGGTTATAGGATGTTGTTATGCCAGTATATGACTGATTAGTAGATCTGTATGATTATTTGTATTTGCTGGTTTTGTGTTTATGTGTATCTGTTACATATGTCGACATATTATGGTTCGGTTGAGGCGGTCCTGCTTTATGCCTAAAACAAAGATACTCGGGGCGGTCTAGATAGGCTATAGGCCCTTCAAGGCGGTCCAGTCCTATTAAAGGCCCGTAGAGCGGTCCAAATAGGATGTAGGCCCTGCGAGGCGGTCTATTCAGGCCGAAAGCTCATATTTGCATGCTATTGTTTGTTATGTTGTGTCTTGGTACTTGGAAGAACTCAATAAGCATTGGCTTACAATTTTAGTTTATTATTTCAAGTACTTCAGAGGATCGTGGGAAAGAGAATATTTGATCGTGCACATCTTCTTATTTTAATGATATTGGATTTTGAAACACTCTGATATGAATTTACTTTTAAAACAATGGCTTTTCTTATAAACAATGATGGATAATGGGTTGCTCTCAAAATATTCAAATTTTTGTGATTTATAGAGTGTTACACTCCATTTTTTTAATGTCACTTTCGCCATGTATACTTTTAACTTTGTAAAATATCATTTTCATTCATTCATTTTCTAAACTTTTGTATTTATCCTCCGTAATATCTATAATCTGATTTTCCTTAATAACTTTTGTTTGTTAGTTAAAAAAAAAAAAAAAAAAAAAAAAACTTAACGTGCTTATTTTAATATATGTGTCATTATAATTTCTAGTTTGTATTAATTATTTTTTTCTAAAATAAAAAACTTACTTGCTTTTTTAATATTCGTGTCTTTATAAATTCGATGTTGTTTACGTTTTCGATGTGATTTTTTTAACGTTTTCGTGTTTTTTAATGTACGCTTCCTATGTATAAATTGTGTCACACATATACAATTTTGAGGTTATTTAGGAAAATATTACTTAATTATTTTTATATACATGTCAGTATAAATTCAAAGTATTTACGTTTCCACATAAAATTTGTGTATGTTTTCGTGCTTATTTTTATGTACCTTTTCGTACTTATTTTTATGTACATTTAACATTTCATACTTATGAATTCGATCACATATAATAGGTTTCCATTCAACGGTATAAATTGGAGTTAGTCAATGGTACAAACCTTGTACATTTTTCTACCAACAAATCAAAATGCTCCCAAGTTTTATCAATATAATTGTCAAAATTCAACTCACAAAATAGATTGATACAAAAAATCCTAGTTTACGTTTAAATCCCATTCAAAAGTAAAATTAAAAGGTCATTGAACTTTTATTTTAAGATCACGTGCGTAGTTAATCAACACATACATTTTATCCTTGCTGCACCATTATTATTAAAAGTCCAATTATACCCTTCACAAACCATTCTTTCCTAATTCAATACTTTCAGTTTCAGTTGCTTTCCCCTCAATTTGTTCCATGAAATCCGAGAGTCTTGACGCCAAACTTTGTTTAGTTGCAGGAGAAACACCATACCTTCCGATCACCGACTCAATTACAGCTTGCCCCAATTTCTCATTCTCCAACACAACATTTGGAGCTTCAGGTATACTGCCATCTTTCGAGAAGCTGATCTGGATTTAAACAAAAGTAAGGTCGGAGTTTTAATTTTGCTTCGTTAATCGAAGAATTCAAGAGGTAAAACTAGAAAATTACCGAAAGTGAACCGATTGAAGAAGTTGTGAAGAGAATAGAAGAGTCTGGTGGAAAATTTTGGTCCTTGAAAACCTCTAGAAACTTATCAATGGTGATGGCGTCTGCATCTGTGTAGGTTCCGTTTGATTTCCAAACACCAACGCACATTTCAGAGACCTTTTCAGAGTATTGTTTACCGGTTAATGGTAGTATCATTGTGACTTGAGTTAGTTTCTCGAAGGGACCTGTAGATGAGATATACATAGGATATTCAACCAAATAGTGATGTGTAGTCTAAAATTTGTAGAAATTTTATAAAAGCGGGTGTAATTAACCATAAAATAATTAGGTTTAAAGTGTATTCTTTACATTTCATAATTTGTATGTTTTATCTCGGGTGTAACTAAGTAGAGTATAACCAACTTATGAAAATATTTGATATAGGTTTGAAAAATACTCGAAATCAACTTAGTTTAAGTTGAGCTCTAACTAATTGATCATAACATCGAGTTGACTGTCAAGCTCGAGTAGTAGTATAATCGGCTCCAAATTATTCAAGCTAAATTATATCCACACTTTTACCATTTTTCTATTTACATAATCAATCTAACTTGACTCAAACTTAATAGCTTAATCGTATTTCTATTGTAATATATATATATATATATATATATATATATATATATATATATATATATATATATATATATATATATATATATATAATCGATATGCGAGCTCGAAAGTGTCAATTATATTATCGAGGTCGAGCCTAAATTTGAAAAATTAGGATGGGTTAGAATTGAGTTTTTCAATCGTGTCGAATTTCGAGTTTTGTAGTACTCTAATCGGCTAGATTAAGCCCTTGGTTCAATAGTATCAATGTTAAATTTAAATTTCATATTGAACCACTCCATAATATTTGTTGAATATGCTTCGAAACCTTTTATACATGCATGAGAATTTTTTGTTTTAGGCAACCTTTCCAAGATTGTAGAAGAAAGAGTGATGTTGCAACTATAAAGTTTCCTATTCTAAAGAGACGCTTTTTTAAAGAGTTTTGTGTTAAGTTGTACATAAATCAACATACACTTTTGTATTTAATGTGGAAGTTTGTATTTGTGTTGTCTATGTTTTATTATATGGTAGACAAATTTATTGATACACATGGAGTTAATTACTTGGGAGTTAAGTTAACCTATTTCATAGAAATATTTCCTTGTTTTTAAGGGTTTTTGAATATCATTATGACTGTTTGTAAGGCTCTCTATAAATGCAGACGTCTTTTTTCATTCATTCATAAACTATTGTTCTCTCCTTTACCCTTGGGAATTGTCACAACCATGTGACTTCCGCTTTTATGTTTGATAATAAAAAATAATACTAGTGCCTTTATGGCTTTTACATTTTAAGGCTACATTCAATTTCTAGTGTTCTTCATGGGTGATTTTGTGTGTTTCAAACATCCATCAGATAATAACAAGTAATATATGAGACAAATGTTTCAAGGTTCCAAAACGCTTATACCCTGCATCATAAATCAATTTTTTCACAAACCATTAAAAGGGTTCTTTGAATTCAATTTTCTCTATTCTCTCCCATTTTACATTGACATTTCTTATACATCAATTTCTTTCATAGGCTTTTTTATAGTCCTTATTGGTTTTTATTACCCTACAAACATGCTTCCATACTCTGATGTTTTGATTGAATTGATTTCTTATAATATGCTTCAATGTGAAATATGTTTACTATATGTATAACTTGTTGATTTCTAGAAATCAGTTTTTGGAAAGAAATTTACTTGTTTTGGAACTATTTATTTTATGTGGAAATCATAATTGTGTATTCACATCGAATGTAGGACTTTGCGTGTCATTCATGATATCAAAATAAGATTTGAATTTTTAGAAATGATTAGATTTCTAGATAATCATCACTATTGAGAATGGATGCTAAATACTCATTGTTTGCAAGTGATCTCCAGCCTAGCTGGTAGTGATGCACTGGGTTTACATCCATGTGGGCTGCAGGTTGTGGGTTCGATTCCTTCTAGGATCATTGCAATAGTGTAATTCTACCCATGCCTCACACGGGCACACGTGGGGAATTTTCCCTGGAAATCCCCTTTGGGGCTGGGTTTGCCCGCTTTGCGGAGCTCGAACTCGGGGTGCTCGTTGAAATATTGTGAGTAGGCTTCCGTTGAATCATTTGTCGTTTCCAAAAAAAAAATACTCATTGTTTGGTACTTGTGTGATGGGTCACATGTCACCTAGTTTGAAATATGCATGAGAAGTAGATTATGTAGATTGATCTACCATGCATGAGGTTGAACCTAATCAATGTTAACTTTGTAATTGAGATTGACTTGGGGTTGGATCAATGCATATGCATTATATACTTGATTATTGTTGAACCATTCCCTCTCAAAATATTGAATTCTTTGAATTTATTGGTTTTGGCTATATAATTGTTTATCATTTTCAAATCTTTTGGAGATTTGACTTTGATTGTGGATGATCTTCATCATCCAAAACTCTTTAAGAGTCGTCCTCGTGTATACTTACTAGGCTTTTTAAGATTAACACTTGTATTTTGACGTGTTTCATATTAGCATTCTAGAAAGAGACCGATGAGGGAAGATTATGAATATTTAGAAGACATTTATTTGTAACGTTATACATAAATTATGTTTTAGTGATTTATTAATACTTCCCTCACATTTTGAACAACCTATGTCGAATTTGAACATTAGGACCTCATATTTTCCCATTTCTAAACTATTTAACATTAATAGACTATAAACATTTGATTTTATATTTATTTTAAAAAAATCACTTATGCGAGGAAGTCTAATGACATCTACTATGTTCATGACACCACATCTATGTCATGTTGAGTCAGTGTTGCATTGAATTGTATAGAAATCAAGATACATTTTCTTATTTGATGTAATGATTTTTATTTGTGTTGCATGTGTTTTATTGTATGGCAATCAAATTTACTTATTTGTGAAGTTAATTGTTGGCCATTAAGTTAACCTATTAAATGGCGAATGATCCCTTGTTTTTAGGGTTTTTAGAGTATCATTACTATTCTTTGTAATGCTGTATATGTTGACTAATATAATTCTAATGGACAATGAATTATTTACTCACAATACATATACACACATAATCGGCTAAGTGAAAGGGCCGAGAACAATGTGGGCTGCAAAACTCTATTGGGCCACTATCAAGAATAATAGTATAATACTAATTGTCTTTGCGGCCTTTCTGTTTTGGGTTCCCACTTAATTTCTTGTGCTTCTCGTGGGCGTTTTTGTATGCATCCATCATATTTTAACGATATCCATGTTAAATTTGAATTTTATTTTTATACAGATGAATCATTTATGAAATTTTTTAAACATTTATAGATAAAGAAAATGAATTTATTAAAAGAACTTATTCATAACTCGTTGACCTAAATAATGAAAAATATATATTTAAAGGTTGCTTGCTCTGTGGATTCCGTTGGGATAACTTAACTTCATCAAATTTGCTGTCAAATTTTGCTTTAATGGGGAAAATCGTGATTCATAAATGTGACACATTAATTTGTTGTTTCCATTAAAAATGCCTTGAAAGTTTTTATCCTTCAGTTAAGAATTCCATAACAAAAGTCGATTGTTTAAACTTTAGAGAATGACTTACAGTAATACTACGCTAGAATTAATCCGAGACTATGTGCATAGTGCCTAATAAGATCAAGACATTAAAAACGAACTAATTAATTAATGTTTAGTTAATTATCTTTTATATTTAAATCAATCACGGGTCCATAGCTCAGTGGTAGAGCATTTGACTGCAGATCAAGAGGTCACCGGTTCGAACCCGGTTGGGCCCTTTTTTTTTTTTTTTTTTTTTTTGTAATTTCACTTTTTGCCTTTATATTTACTTTTTTGTAATGAGTTAATAACACCTAATACCAAAGCAGAAGTCATGCTTTTTGCCCTATTTGTAATTATACTTTTTTTTTGTAACGAGTTAATAACACCTAAAATCAGAGTGTCATAAGCACAAAATTAGTTGAAGCTTACCAGTAACAATGTCTCTGAAGAACTCAACGGAATCTGTCAACTCAGCAGCAGTTTTTCCCTTCCACTTAACGGCGAGTGACGGAATAGCTTTATCCTCCAGATACACACCAATCCCCGTGAACTTCACGAAGTTACCTTCGATTTCCATACCTCTCACACCTTGCACATGATAAAAACCCACGATTTAGACGATTCAAACTCCAATTAACAATAAAATTGTAAACCTAATTGAAGAGATGAAAGTGACATGATTTTTTATCGGTGGAAGATCGAGTTTAATTACTGATTTGAATATGGGAATTAATACCTGCGCCGGCGAGGAACAGAGTGGTGGTTGCACCAGGAGGCTTGACGAATGGTGGAAATACGACAGATTCGATCTGGAGACTGGTGGGGGACGGCGGTGGAGCCATGGTAATACAGTCGGAGTTGAACGGAAAGAGAGAAGGTGTTTGACACTTTGACGGACGGGTTAGCTCTTATGGTGGTTGGTATTTCTATCAATTTATGGAGGGAATGGAGGTGGTAGATAGATCGTGTGGCGGTGAAGAAAGCTGACGTGGACGCTCGAGATCAAAAACTGCACTCTGTTGTTTTTAAGATACTAGTCTTATAGTATATTCTTTCTTTATAATTGTCAAATGGATCCAAATTTTTGCAAGTGTTGTAGAGATGCTTTTTGGTTTCGAATCATACATATCACAAGTAAATGTAGGGGTGAGTATAGTGCGGTTTGGTGCGGTTTTTAGATCAAATCGAACCGCAAACCGTATGGTACGGTTTTTGCATTCTCAAAACCGTTGGGTGCGGTTTTGCAATGGTTCGGTTTTTCGGTTTTTAAATGCGGTTTCGGTTTGTATCGGTGCGGTTTCGGTTTTAAACCGTGTTAAGAATTTGGTGCAGTTTTTTTATGTTTTTTAGTGTGGTTTTTTAAAGTTGTAAGAACTGAAAACCATGTGCATGTAAGCTTGTATTGTGCTGTTTTTTTAAAACCATTCATTTTCAACTCAAAACAAAATTACATAATAAAAAATTGTTAAGTCGCTTAAAATACAACTTGTGACTACTCTCACAAACTAATTAATAAATGAAAGTCCGTTGATTTTGACTTAATTTTTTACAAGCTTATTACATGCAATCCGTTTGGCTAACAATAGAACATTTCTTTTGCATCTCATATAGTTTTACACAAACACAAACTAAACATCTAATAAATATATTATCGTTTATAAGTATTTTAAATAGCATGTATATAATATACATTGATTGATTATTACTATACACGCTTGTGGTGCGGTTCGGTTTTGGTGGACCGGTTTTTAGTATAGAAACCGCACCGCACCGTTGACCTTCGGTTTTTGCAAAAATTAAATCCGCACCATTGGTTTTTGCATTGGTTTCGGTTTTTCGGTTACAGTTTATTGCGGTTTTATCGGTTTTTCTTTAGTCGGTTCGGTTTTTGCTCACCCCTGAGTAAATGTGCTTATCCAATATATTTTAGAGTAATATTTGATGTAAGATAGCATATAAAGAGAAAACAAATTATCATGTTAGTAGTAGGGGGAGCAAAATACTTTTTAGAACTAAATTGAGTGGAAACCGAATATATAATTTGCTTCGGTTCTCGGTTCCTACATATTCATAAATTTGGTTACTGGTTTTTTGGTTCGGTTCGGTTCAAGATTCTAATAACTAAAAGTGAGCAAAATACTCGTTGGAAACAATGCCGAAATAGAACCGGAACCGAATATGTAATTCGATTCAGTTCGGTTTAGTTTTTGGTTCCTCCATATCCATAAATTTGGTTTTTTGGTTCGATTTTGGAACCGAATTCACCCCTACATGACACCAACAACACTTTAAAAATGAGAGAGACACTCTATGAGCAACAAACCGAGCAATTCGAGAGAGCAGTGAGCGTTCATGATAAAAAGGAAATTCATATGAAGAGACCATTGGCAAGTTTAGAATAGATTATTGCATAGTTCCATAACTAAGTTCAATCGGGTCAATTCAAGAGAAAACAGGGTTCAACTGGACCAATTTAATATAAAAAATAACTAATTCGACTTATAAACGAACAAGTAGTGAAAGGACTGAACCCAAACCAATCTTTAGGAAAGATTGACTAAAACCAACTTAAACTTGGAGTAAAACAGTTGTGTGGAAATATGAAAAAGAAAGTATCTATTTGTAATGGAACCCCCCCCCCCCCCCCCTCTCCTCATCGTGCAATCAGTTTCTTCTTAGAATCAATGCAAGACGTGAGACTTATTCATGTGTCTTTTATTTTTTTTTTATATAGTTTATACATTGTTTTCCATCTCTGTTTTTGTCAAGCACTATAAACTAGATCATGATACCTCTTTTTTCCTTTTTTTTTTTTTTTTTTTTTTTTTTTTTTTTTTTTTTTTGTTAAATGCTACAAAGCAGGTCATTCATATTTTTTAAGGCATGTCCTATTATATAATGTATGATGATTTGGAGTGTTTTTGTTGATTTCCATGTTATGGGAAGTTGTTCATTTTATATAATATGGGTCAAAGGACCTACCTTTCCGTAATATAAATTCGCGCCCGAAAGAGACAATAAGTATTTACTTGTAAAATTCTAGGATTAAAATGTATTTGATAATTTTAATTTTTAAACAGATGTCGATTTAGTACTAATTTATAATCAGCCGTCAGATTAGAATGAAGTTGAAATCTACTTAAATGACAAATTCTTCCAAATTCAACTTCGAAATGCTCTTGTAGAAGTAGAAATCATCCTTAGTTTTGATAATGTATTCTCCATTTAGAAACAACTTGTACTTTAGCCCACGCTTTCTCACGAGTTCTTACGTGTGTTTTTCTTGCATGTATCACAGCTTTAAAAAACACTAAAAGTTTAAAAGAAATAAACGTTAGATGATTTATCAAAAGTTGATAAGAATTTAGGGACTATTTTTGTAAATTGAATAGTTTTTGAATAATTCATAAGAAAGTATGGGTCATTAAAAATAGCAAGAATGTGCATTGTAACTAAAGAGTTTAGAGATTATTTTTATGAGTCCGATGATTTTTGAATTATCCAAAAAAATAGGGGTCATAACTATAAAAAAAAAAAAAAGAAAAAAAAAAGTTGTACGTTATGCATTATAAGTAGCAATTTTAGCTAGGCTATAAATTACCATTTGTATATATTTATAATTAATTTGATTTAACAAATAATTTAACTGTCACTTTTAATTATCAAATACGTAAAATAGCTCATAACTTAAGAAACCAAAATTAAATACATACAAATCAAAGCCAAATTACTAATGTTTTGTAACACTTAACATGCATGTCACTTAATTATATCTCGTCAACACTCAACACATTGCATAAACCAATTATTAATTTGCTACAAAACATAAATTACGATAGATAATCCAAAAAGTAAACTGACTATTTCATGAGCTACATTCCATAAACGTAATAATTTTCATCTCAACCCAAGTATATTTTGTGAAACAAATGGATGAATATTCATTGTATTCTAAGGCCTTTAAGGTGCTTAGCTGCCAAAGTGTTGATACAAACAGTTGCATCATATTAGCCATGCCTACAAAAGGCCTTATTAATTCATCTTCCAATTTAATTTTATGATTTTTTTTGGTCAATTTTATTATTGGCACAACATTTACACAATAGTAATCCGCAATTTTGTGTGTTTATAGTTAGATCCAAATGATATTATCATCGAAAACGATTATTTTATATGGGTTCGCAGGATATAAGCAGTTGTTTCTATTATATAATGTATGATGATTTGGAGTGTTTTTGTTGATTTCTATGTTATGGGAAGTTGTTCATTTTATATAATATGTATAAGGTTGTTTTAGCCAAGACATATCTTGTAAATTACGAACCCATAGAGAGATGAGATGACGTAAATGAAAAGTATTTTATTGCCGAGGGACTATGTTAGAAATTTTAAAAGCTGGGGGACTGAAAATACTCATGCAGCCATAAATTCAAATTTCAAGAAGTGTCCTTATCAATTCAAAATATCAATTTAGCCTTGCTGTTTTGGTAATTTATAGAATTCGTTTAAAAGAAGATATATTATGACTATTTGATTTTCATGATATTAAGACAGGTTTCTTTACCAAAAAAAAAAAAAAAAAAAAAAAAAAACAAAAACAACAAACAAACGTTTTCTGTTTAAACTTTTTGCTAAAGGGATTTTGATTTTCTTGCATATATAATGAAATCACAACATTAATCTTGTTTCATCTAAATATTTTAATTTTTTTTCAACAACAAATATACACAATTTCCTAAAGGCCATAGTGGGTAAGTAGAAAGTTATATGTAACTTGTTTTACTTTTATCTAAAAAATAAAAGGTAGAGAGACTATTTTAATAGGAGACACCTGATATCGAGGAGACCGAATCCACCAATAAATGTACAAATATATAGGTACTAACATAAAACCTTGATCTTATGTCTCCACTTCGACTCCTTCCTTTCCGAAGCCATGTCATCGGACAATTTATAATTACTAATTAACCGGATCTTAACGACTTTTAATTAGAGTTCTAACATCATTCCCTCCTATTTTAAGTTTGATCTTCTCGTTTTATAACCCAAATCTTAATCTATAGCATGTCATGTCCAAACTGTTCTCTTCTTAATTCAGGGAGGATGAAGTCATTCCCTCCCAACCCACTGAACTCACTGACATGTCATTTTTTCTCTTTTATTTTTCTTTATTTTTTCCAACCCACAATACATAGAAATTCTATGTTTCTCAACTCACTCAATCCACTAATTAAAAAAAAATACAAAACAACTAAGATACAAATTTTAAAACACATGGTACAAAGGAAAATGAGAAAGAACGTAGAGAGAGATGAAGTGGGTTACTGAAACCAATTAACCAACCCGTTTAAGCGAGAGTGGTACTGTCAGTAACTCTATTGCTAATTAAGATTTTACCTTTGATTGTTTTGTATTTTTTTTTAATTGAGTGAGTTAAGCGAGTTTAAAAAGATTGAGTTTCCGTATGTTGTGGTTTGGGAAAGATGAAAAAAAATAAAAGATAAAAAATGATGTGACACTGTGTTCAGTAGGTTGGGAGGGAACGACTCCCTCCTCCCTCATAGAGAAAAAAATAATAATAATAATAATAATAATAAAATAAAATAAAATACCATGATAAAGATGATCTAGTTCCCATATCTACACAAGCTCGTTTGAGAGAGAAATCCAAATATGAGCGATGCCCACTTCTCCATTGATATTTAGGCCTTTAGCCAACTAAATCAAGCAACTAAAACAAAGAATTAGGTAAAGAAATGTAAACTAATATATATACTTCATCCCGACTTTTGGTCCATGGGATGTGGTTCTTGTATTCCTTGTGATTAAGCCTAAATAAGTTTGTTTTCTAATTTATTTTTAAAAATTTTAAGGTGATATGGAAAATCAACATAACCTACATGTTCAACATATATGTTTACCCTATATAAGTTTAATTTTCATTTTTTTTTTCTTTTAGATTGTCATGGAAAAATTACGTAACCTTTCAAAACCAAAATACGACTCATACAAGTCCATCGTCAACTCAGTTATACCCTAAATAATGATGGTAATACATTGCACAGTGGATCAAAACTTTGTTAACTAAAATACAATGAAGGCAAACATTATAAAAGCTATTATATATTCTGTTTTTTTTTTTTACTGAAAA